GCCACCACACACCTATCAAAATGGCTAAAATTCAAATAACTTACAATATCAAGTACTGATGGGCATGCGGAGCTGGTGGGGATTCAAAAGGTACACTTTGCGGGCTTCCCTGGTGGCGTAGTGGTCGAGAGTCCGCCTGCCGATGCAGGGGACGCGGGTTCGTGCCCCGGTCCGGGAGGATCCCACATGCCGCGGAGCGGCTGGGCCCGTGAGCCATGGCCGCTGAGCCTGCGCGTCCGGAGCCTGTGCTCCGCAACGGGAGAGGCCGCAGCGGTGAGAGGCCCACGTACCGCAAAAAAAAAAAAAAAAGGTCCACTTTGGAAGAGTATCTGGCAGGTTCTTACGAAGCTAAACATAGTCTTCGTATAATCCAGCAAAATCCAAAGGAGTTGAAAACTTAGGTCCACACAAAAACTTGCACACAAATGTTTACAACAGCTTTACTTACAATCGCCAAAACCTGGAAACTACCACGGTGTCCTTCATTAGGCGAGTGGTAAACAAACTTGGTACATCCAAACAATGGAATATTACTCGGCAGTAAAAAGAGATGAGCTATCAAGCTATAAAAAGACATGAAGGAAACTTCAATGCATATTGCTAGTGAAAGAAGCCAATCTGAAAAGGCTACATACGGTATGATTCCAACTCTGTGAAATTCTGGAAGAGGCAAAACTATAGACAGTACAAAGATTAGTGGTTGCCCGAGGTTCTGGGGGAAGGAAGGGAGAGATTTTTAGGGCAGTGAAATTCTGTGAATGATACTGTGATCGTGGACACATGATGTTATGCAATTGTCAAAACATTTACAACTGTACGAAAAGAGAAGTGATTTCTTAAACTATACACTTCAGTTAATCAGAATGTATCAACACTGGTTGGTTGATTGGGACAAATACAGCATACAAATGCAAGATGTTAATAACGGGAAGCTGTACAGAAACGCTCTGTATTATGTGCTTATAATATATTCAGCGTCAAGGACCGTGGTAAGACAGGCAGGAGTAAAATGTGCATCGAGTAGGACTAAGAATATTCTTCAGGTAAATTAACATATTGAATATGTGAGGAGGAAGTAGAGGAGGTTAAACTAGGAAGAACCACTCTGACCCTGCCTCCAGCCCATCAGCACAGAGCTCAGAGCCTTGGCCGATGGGCAAACTCAATCTGTGTGGACCAAATGTATTAAGAATCCATACTTTCCCACCGCCAGTCTCCAAGAATTTGTCTCTGCTGTAATAGTGGAAAAAACTCCTCCTCAACCAGGAGACAAACTCCAACTACCAGTTCTAGGTTTTGGACACTTTCCCTGTGCAGCAAAGAAGAACACATCTGACTCCATATTGAATCTAAACCTTGTGCTCGGTGGCCTGTGCTCGGTCATGCTGGCTCTGCACCTTTTGTAAAAGAAGGTTGCCTAGAGCCTGAAATATATATTGTACATAATAGCCCTTTCTCAATGCTCTGCCTCCCAGGCTTGACCTTTAAAGGTGTAACACTTTCCATTTATGTAGAGGTAAAAAGTGTCAGAACGGAAAATAACAATTCTCTTGCTGGAGGTTTAAAGGAACCCTGTGAACAAAGGATTCTGGCACCAAGAAGTCTACAACAACCCCTCCTCTTTTAGCAAAATCGAAGCCTGAATGCTAACTTGGGTACAACGGTTCTTGGGACACGAGTCCACCATCTTCTCAGTCTGCTGGCTTTCTGAATAAAGTCACCATTCCTTGCCCCAAGACCTTGTCTCTGGATTTATTGGTCTGCTGTGTGGGGAGCAGTATGCGCTTGGACTCAGTAGCGCCTGCATTGCTCCTACACAGACAAAATATAGTATAAGATTTCCCCCTCATATAAGTGTTTCCCGTTAAATAGCCGGCCCTTCCTGTCTTTGGCTGCCCCTCCTTTGAGATGTGTGGGCACCATCACCCTCCTTGTCACAATGTTGATGCCTGGATCGCTAAACTATAGCACCACACAGGAGGCTTCTTTCTTCAGCACCGTGGAGAACAGAACACGGCGTGCTCGTTCCAGGCACACCTGTGTCCGCTGTGCCACCCAGCAAAGCAGCCAGACCCAGCTTGTCCTCTCCATGTGCATCTAATTTCCTCTCAGTTCCTTTTGTAAGGCCAACTGGCCCGAGGCAGGGGAACACAATCAGATTCACAGGTTGCATCAGACCGAAATTCTCCGGACCACCCAGTTCCAGAAACTGCCCTGGAGACATTCCGAACCACCCAGTTCCAGGAACTGACCTGGGGACTTTGAACCCAGCCCAGCCTTCCCGCC